CCTCGTTACACGACTATGGGCAAAGAGGGGCAGCTGTAGACACACTTTTTATGACTGAAATAAACATATATATATATATATATATTATATATATATTGTACAATTATTATTATTATTATTAAACTAACATATTCGTTTCATTTCTGTATCAGGATTATGAGTGGCCCAGCAGCACACACGAACCGGTCAATCAGCTGCAACCCGCGTGAACCGGTCCAAGCCCTCAACACCGAATCAATCCGGGGCTAGGGTTTCCAGAACTTAGCAAGCAGGCGCCGTTTCCCGCGAGGACTCTTCCTCACCCGCACCTCCGATCTTCACGCCGAACCGTCCGACGCAAGGACCTCGCAAGGCAACCACCAACAAACGTTAAAAGAGCAATTTGTATGCCATTAGGACTCCTAAAAATAGGGTCTCTTTTGTACTATAAATACCCATGTAATCACATTCAAAAGGGGAGCCGCAAAAAAAAATTGACACAGACACACAAGTTTGTACAAGGTTACAGAGAAATCACCACACACGCAAACTCATCATAGCCAACACAAAGAAAGTTCAAACACTTGTAGAGTTTTTTGAAAAAGAGAATAAAAAGGTAGCGTTTTTTTTTCTCACCTTTGTTTGTTCGTATTTCATCGTTGCATGTCGAGTGTTGCTTGCTATTTTGCCCGGAAAACCCCAAGGAAATGTTCGGCCGATGACCAGGGGAGAGGTATTTCGAGTGGATCTATCCTAGATCTACCCTCCCGAGGCCTCCTTTTCATAAAATCAATATGTTTTTTTTCAAACGAGGGTACAGAGACCTCTCGGAAAAATGTAAAATTTTGGATTTTTGCCGCCGATGAACGGTGGTCGTCGCCGTTCAACGGCGACGGCGAGGCGGTGACGGGTTTTTTCTGGGTTCATCAGGAACCCAGGTGGCGGCGTGTTCATCCAAGGATGAACTGAAGAGAGAAAACGAAGGGATGGGAGAGGATTCGGCTTGGAGAAGAGAGAAATGAATATTTGGATAAAAAATTTGATTTTATACTTAAACCATCCGCGTGCTTTTAAGAATTAGTGGGAAAGTACCCACTTTGGTCCCTCACTGTTTTTTAAAGCCTGATTTTAACCCCCAATCGCATTTATATCTTGATTTTCGTTTCGGATTTTGGCCACTAAATTTATTTTTATTTCAATTTAGTCTCTTTTATTTAATTTTTTTTATTTAACATTTGTATATATATATATATATATATATATATATATATATATATATTATTATTATTTCTTTTCGTTTCCTTTTCATATATAGATATTACTTTTTAGTTCTTTCGTTTATTCATTTTTATTATTATTATTATTATTCTTTCCTAACATTTTTTACTTATATACATGTGTTAATTTTTTTATTTGTTTTTTCAATTATTTTTCCACATAACGTTACTTACATATATATTTATTATTATATATATATATATATATACGTTTTGTTTTGTTTTGTCTGTTTTCCATTTTTATTATTAATTATATTTTACTATATATTATTTTGAGACTTGACTAGCTCACAGTTTTAGAAAGCAAGAGCCCACCGCCCATTAATTAATTAAAAGGGACATGTTCATGGGTCAAGGTTTAGGTGCTCAGTTTCTGACACTCTCGAAACATGAGCCTAGGATTGGCATATTATCATTAACTTTTTTTATTATTTTACGTTTTATTATTATTATTATTATTTTCTTTATTTCTTTCGATTTCTCTTTCTTGATTATTTAATTTTCTTTTTATCTAACACGTCTTTTGACTTTTAAAGGATATGTTTTAATTCGTCAGAGGTAAAATAATTCGGATTGTTATTTTACCTTTTAGTTTAAATTACAATTTTCTTAATTAAAGACAACTGGAAATTACATAGTACCGAAAGGGTGGTTCAAGGGTGCTAATCCTTCCTTGACCGTAACCGACTCCCGGATCCGACATATCTTTGGTACGACGCAGATCAGGTAAGAAATAAGGTATCCGATCAACCCATTTTTCATAAAATAAATGATCGGTGGCGACTCCAAACCAATTAATCCAAGTCGAAGCCCAATTCCGGGGCCCAACCGAAAGACGGTTCCGACAATAGTATAACTATCCTTTATATATTTAAAAATATTTACAATGATAGCCCTTTGTATATTTTTTCAAATTAAGTCACTGTTACACCTATTAAAAATAAAAGTATAAATATGTGTCAAATTAGATCAAGCTGAGTGTGAGATTTTATCTAAAAATCATGTCAGATTTCGGGTTAGATAGAATCTCGTCAAACCCCAATCGATACGTGATGCAGGGGAATCCGAGACAGATGATGCTGAGCTGTCAGATTGCACCTTGATGGCGCTGAGATACCATGAGTTTTCATATCAGCGCAAAGGCGGGAGTTGATTGTGATATGTTCCTCATTGGGGCCGTTTTGAGTGCGTTTCAGTCTTTTAGCCATAACTTTGGCTACAGGTGTCGGAATCGTGCATAAGACCCCAATTCGAAAAGCCCCTTTCGACGCGCACGTTGTCCACATTCTAATAAACCCTAGAGACTTTTTCTCTGGTTTTTGGGTGAATTTTCTCCTGTTATTTATCAGTTAGAACGAGCCTGCAGAATAATCGTTATTATGGCCGACGTCAATACGAGTGACGAGTGAAGGATATGAGGTTTAGGTCCAAAAATCCAATCCATACACATTTTTAAACGTGCGACCAAACAATGACAAATATTATAATAAGCTCACATAATGATAAAACACATTAAGGATATTTGGATGGAATAAAATCTTAACTTTAATTTATAATTTTTTGTATTATTTATTTTATATTTTAAATAATAACAAATTTAAAATATTATATAAAAATGTTAATTACCTTTACCTTTTAAAATTTTATATTATGAAAATACTTTGAGACTATGTTATGAAAAATCATTAAACAAAATCATTTTATTAAAATAAAGACCAAAAAATTAAAATTAATATGAAAAATTATATGAGAGTTTGCCCTGTTTTTTTCTTTTTCTTTAATCCTCATTACCTTTTTTCTTTATTTTTGTAATCGACGGCGATTTTAGTCTTAGTTCTGGTTGCCGACCGTCGGTATTTATTATTTATCATTTATTTTATTATAGAGTATCTTTATTTTTTTTCTTGTTTTTTATTTTTAATAATTCTTTCTTTATGACACGTTTTCTTCTATCTTTATGATACATTTTCTTCTGTCTTTATGACACGTTTTTCGTTATATATACGACACGTTTTCAATCGTTTAGTTGTTATTTTTATTTATTTTTTTTTCAAGGTTTGATTTAACATCACAATAATTGATTCGGCTTCCTGACCTCGTATACCGACCAAACAGTAAACAACCGATTCGGCTTCCACTTCCATCCCAAATTATCAGCAGTTTGAGTCCTAATTGGTGTCATTGTGCACATTAGTCTGTGAAGAATTTCCTGATGGAGAATCGAAGAGAGAAGCGGCCATTTCCACGTGCCATGATCATCAACCATATCCGCCACCATAACGAGAGGTAAACAGAATCAAGATTCAAATACTAAATATTATTTAAGAAACATAATACATCATCTTATCAGACCGATTCGTGTTTCGTTATTATCATTTATTTACTTATTTTTGTTGTTCTTCCGGTTTCAAAGCTTCGTCTTGACTAATCCGGACTGATCCGTGTCGCACCCTTAGCTTTGATGGTTAAGTCTCCCAACAGGGATTTTCTGCATACACAAGGACTCTACCAAGACTATAGAGTGTAGAAATCTTTAATTATCATGTAGAAATCTTTAAAGTATATAAATGGTCACCAGCTACAGAGTGTTGTTTTATTGTGTCATCCGACTATTATAAGTTATAAAATGGCCCCTGAACTATAAGACATTACTTTTTTAAGTCTCCTAACTATTAAAAGTTACAAAATGGTCTCATAACTATTCATTGTGCTCCAAACTCGTCATTTTTCAATAAAAATGATGACAATTTGAGTTTGTACGTTAACTAGTTGACTAATATATGATATAATCTGATCTCAAAATCTTAAATGACTATCATATCACAATTAGCAGGTTAACATTCAGTTCAAACCATTTTCAATTTTTAACGAAAATGGGATGAGTTTGGAACACAATGAATAATCAGTTGACCATTTTGTAACGTTTAATAGTCGATGGACTAGTATTATAGTTAGACGATCATTTTGTAACTTTTAATAGTGTCGAGACTCAATAAACAATATTCTATAGTCGGGTGACCATTTGTATATTTTACCCAAAATTTTAATTTTGTTGACAAGAAAAACAAAATCATTGATATTTTTAAAGTAAAATAATTATTTTTTTCAATTAAATAAAAATTCTGTGAAATTTAATTATGAAATGAGATTTTACTTTATAGTTATAGTGTTGAAAGTGTTAGTTTTGTGGAAAATAAAAACAAAGTCTTCCTTTCTATTTGATTTTATACCCAAGACTCGTACTTAAATTGTTGTAATATTTTCTAATTTTTGTCCCACATTATGAGGACATTGAATTTAACATGTGCTTAAAATTTGATCGTTAAAATGTTGCATAAAGTCTTAGTTTGTGGGAAATTCAAGTTTTTAAGAATTTTACACACACTCAATTGGACTTTTGGGTAAAATATACAAAAGGTCTCTCGACTATATGACATTGTTTTATCGAGTCCTCTAATTATTAAGTTACAAAATGGTCTTTCAACTATAGGGCAATGGTTGTTGAGTTCTTAAAATGATAAATTTGAGGACTTAAACAAATAAGTTATCCAATCGAGTTTATCTTACTAAGGTACCTTGTTTATTAAGACATGTAAACAGTAAATCACAGTATACATTGATAATTGAACATTCCTATACAATGATAAAACTATATTAAGACCAAGGCTATCAGATCAAAAGATCAAAAGATCAAATTTTCTTTCCTTTCCTTGGATCAGCACGAAACAACTTCTAATGAAATCTTCATGGCAGCTAAGCACAAATTTTGGAGATGTGATACACAATGAAATTTCCCATGGTTGAATAGCGACAGGTAGTGACGCACTTCCCAACGAAAGAAAACCAAGTTCTTCGCCAATGTGGATTTATGTAAAGCACGATAAAAACTGTCAACAACATCACTACATAGGAAACCACAAAGCTCACACAAAAAACATACTTGTCTACCCAATTATCTTCTCCTTCATCATCATCTGACGGAGTTGACTCTGTTGATGGTGCGTCGGCTTTCGAGCAACTTTTATTCAGTAAAGGTCCACAGAGAAAAGGGTTCCCCTCATAACTGTTTTCAATAAAGGTACCAAATTGAGCTTTCGATTCTGGAATACTGCCTGACAAGTTGTTGTATGCCACGCTGAAAACCTCCAGAGTATTCAACTCTACCAACTGGTTTGGGATTTCACCACTCAACTTGTTGTAGGAAAGGTCCAAACTCTCAATCTGCTTAAGTTTTGAAAATGACGAGGGTATAACTCCGACCAAGTTGTTGTGTGACAAGTTTAAAGAATAGATTTCACTCAAGTTTCCTAATTCGCGTGGGATCTGACCAGTTAACTTGTTGCATGATAAATCAATTCCGGTCATATACTGAAGGATGTTACCCCCATACGAGTGGAACCAACTCTTTGTTCTGAAATCTATCCGTTCTTCAATGTAGCTGTCGGCAAAGGAATGATTTATTATCGTTTTACCCTCTGTTAAAAATCTTTCCACTTTCTCATGTTGTATGATCTTATTCTCATGCGTTTGTAAAGTTAAATTTCCCAAACAAGAAGGTATAGAGCCAGAAAACATATTTTGAGAAAGATCAATAATGCTCAAGGAATTCAAATTGCATAATTGAACTGGAATTTCACCTTGTAAATGATTAGCTCTTAACAGAAGGACACTCAAAGAAGAAAGAGTGTCAATCCATTTCGGAATCCTACCGGTTAAATTGTTTTCTCCAAGATCTAATGTCACAAGTGAAGAGCTATTATAAAAAGCAAGTGACAATGTACCGCTCAGTCTATTCCCATGAAGGTGGACATGCTCTATGTGTGGAGGATTGACGCAGGATGGTATAGAGCCAGATAAATTGTTTTGAGAAATATCCAAAAATTCCAAGTAATTCAATCTGCAAAACTCTATTGGAATTGAACCCTCAAAACTGTTGTTAGACAAAGCCAATCTCCGCAAATCTGACATGTTCCCCATCCATCTTGGGAGCTTTCCATACAACTTGTTATTACTGAGATCAATTTCCTCCAGTGAAGTTGGAAACTGAAAAGTAGAGACATCAACATTGACCATCTCTCCAGAAAAATTATTTCCATCCAAATATAAATTTAACAACCCATTTGCTTTGAGAATCGCAGGAACTACATTTCCGCTGAGGTTGTTATTTGATAGTCTCAAGCAGTCCAAGCTTTTCATGATCAACTCTTCCGGTACTCTTCCAGACAATTGATTGTCTGACAGATCTAAAAAAAATAAATCCTTCATGCCACTTAAACAAGGAGGGATGTTACCTTCAAAGGCATTCTTAGATAAGAATATGAATTCCAAATGTGGATAAATTGAACATATGTTGGATGAAATCTGACCTTGTAACTTGTTATCAGATATGTCAAATGAAGCTAAATTAGAATTAGGAACTGACGGTAATCTGAGACGACCTTTAAAAGAATTACCATTCAAGATGAACTCCTCTAACTTCGTATTGTTTTCTAACAACCAAACTGGAAACGTTCCACTGAAATTGTTTCCAGAAAGATCCACAAATCTCAAGTCATATTGGTAGTGAAGGAAGGTGGGAAGTTCAAGACTGAGTTCTTGAGATGTTATGCAGTTTGAGAAATTGATCTCTCTTAGCTGGAACTTTGGGATGAGCGTATAGGAGGAAGGTTCCATTACCATATTGTTTTCATCAATGTAGAGGAACTTGAGGTTTGGTAAATTTGTAAATGGAACCAATGACATTGGAATTTGAAAATGATTTCTTGAAAGGTGGATGGATCTAAGTGATGTAAGATTTGTTAAAGGAATTAGATTTCCATTGAGTCGATTCTTAGACAAATCTAACTCACGAAGAGAAGTCAAGTTACTCAAACAACGAGGAAGCATCCCTTCAAGTGTATTCCGACGCACATCCAATATTTCAAGCTTTTTTAGATCACACCATCCTGAAAATATTATAAATTTTGTAATCGAAATTCTAATTAAAATTGGTTTGAAAAAAATATTAAATAAAAGAAAGCTAATGAAAAATTATTGAAGAGATACATTCTAGAAATTATATGGGTAAATTATACATTTAGTACATAAACTATCAATTTTAGTACCTAAACTTTTAAATTTTTCAAAACTATACCTAAGTTTTAGTTTTTGTTTCGTTTTAGTACCCCGTTGTTAAAAAACTTAAACGATTATTTGCACGTGGCACCATTTTTAAGGGTAAATTGCATCATTCATCCCCCTCAACTATCTTCTCACTCCTATTTTGGGCACTAAAGTTTAATTTTTCTCAATTTAATTACTTAACTTTCAAATTACTCCTGATTTAATCACTCAAACTTTTTAATAAAAATAATCTCATGTCACAAAAATTATTAATAAAATATACTAGTGTGATTAAAATGGGAGTAATTTGAAAATTGAGTAGTTAAATTGAAATTTTTGAACTTTAGTACGAAAATAGGAGTAAGAAGATAGTTAAGTAATAAATGATATAATTTACCCATAAAAATGCAGTGCCGTTAAGTTTTCAACGATAATGTACTAAAATGTAACAAAAACTAAACGTTAAATATAATTTTAAGAAAACTAATAGTTTATGTACTAAACATGTAATTTACCAAATTATATTTGAAAAATTATGAGGTCTAGATTTGAGCCATAAATTTACCTTGGTTAGGTAAGGAACCAATAAGTCCACAATCATATAAGGACAGAGTTTTAAGAGAAGTGATTACTCCAATGCTCTGTAAAATATTAGTGTTGAGAGTAGACCCATCGAGAAGTATTTCCTCCACGTTCGTCGACAGATTTAATCCTAATAAATGGCAGTAGGTATTAGAAGTTAATCAAACATAATAAAGCAGTGTTGGAATTGAAAACAATGACTTACCTTGAGTACTCATAGCCTTGTTCAGATGATTGCCAACTAGAGACAAGGTCTTAACTGTTGAAAAAGCCTCGACCAAGTTCAGCAGCGAAATACTTCCATCGGTGAAAGCCGTATCGAGAGAAACAACTTTTAACTTTTTCAATCCCTTAATTTCTGTGAGAGAAAGGAGTAGATAAATATTTTAATAATGAAAAGAATGTGTTATGTTGAAGCTTTACAATTACTCTTCTTTCATTTTATTTTATTTTTGAAAATTAATCACGATATCCAATCTTTTTGTTTGTGGATAACTTACAAAACTCTATTCACTGGAAAGGGTTATGGCAGATTGTGGGTCGTTATGGTGAGGTTTTGAGTGTGTATCTTCCGTCGAAGAGGAGTCGAGCAAGTTCTAGGTTTGGTTTCGTAAAAGTTGGCAACATGGTAGAAGCTGATAGAGTTAAGGAACGGTTGAATGGTCTTATGGTGTATGGTAGTCGCATCTCAGTGAGTTTTGCTAAGTATTCTTTGAAGGCTATGAAGGATAAATGTGCGCAGTGTAAAGGGCCTTGGAAAGGAAATACTGTAAATCCTATTGCAACCGGTATTTCTCAAACTAAGGAAGATAGCCTAGCGTGTGTTTCCAGAAAGAAAGTTGAGGGGCATGTGGTTGAGGACGAAGTAAGAAAGTTGAAGAGGTGTTTGGTGGGTGTTATGGCTGGTGTTTGTAGTGTTGGGAGTATTGTTGATAGATAATCTAATTGGGGTTTAGGGGAAATTAAAGTTCAAAGACTTCGTGGGAACTCTTTTCTGCTCTCCATCGAGGATGAAGATCTTTTTATCATGCTTGAAGACCTTCGGTGGTCTTATTTGAAGGAGATTTTCGTGGATGTTATGTTTTGGACAGAGTCTTTCTGCCAGAAGGAGAGAGTTGTTTGATTAGAGATAGAGGGTTTATCGTTACATTGCTGTAATGCTGTCACTCTGAAAAGAATAGTGGGTTTGTGGGGTACTTTTGAGGCGTTTGGTGATAACATTAACCATCATTTAGATTGTGAGAAAGTTAATGTGCTGATTTCTACTTCTTCGGAAACTCGGATTGATGAAGTTGTAGATGTAGTGGTGGAGGAAAATAAATTTGATGTTCGCATTCTTGAAGTTAGGATGGTGGACCATTCTTTAGGCAATTTGTCTAAATCTGAAATCCTGAAGAAAAAAGAGATTGAGGTTGAGAAGGAAGGGGCTGAGGGTGAGGTTAATAATTCAGGTGTTTCTCCGGTTAAAGATGATCTGACGGTGGCTTCTGAGTCGGGAAGTTCTGATGGCAAGAAAGGGTCTCCTTCTTGCTCTGTGGATAGTCTTTGCTGCCATAAAAAGGCTAGTTTGGGGAAGCCGATTGAGGTCGACTGTGGTGTCGAGGAAGGTGGCCAGAGTGTTGGCCTTGAAATTTCAGATCATTGTAATCTCGTGGGGTTGCAAGGAGTGGATATCGATGGGGTTGAGAATCTGGTTGTCGAGCCAAATGTGGTCAGTCCTATTATAGACGGGACTTCAAAGTTGGAGGATAGAGTATTGGTGGGTGCTTCTGAAATTGTTTCTCCAGAAATTGAGCCTCCTTTAAGGATGGGTTTAAAGAATGGATTTTTATTAGATTCTCGTAGAGATTTTCTGGTGGATTCAGGGGGAGGAGTAATGATTTAGTTTTGGGTCCTGTTAACTCTTTGGAATTAGGCGACGTTAACATAACGAAGATATCGGGAAATGAGAGTTTCGGGGGAGTACTAGAAGAGATGTCATGTGTTCCAGAAGTGTCTATTAGGAATAAAAAGAAGATGCAGAAATTTGGTTCTTTGTTGGAGATTCAGGACTCAGTTCTATCGAAAGCTGAGAGGAGTCGAAGAGATCGAGCGCTGAAGAATTCCAAGTTCAAGAAGTCCGATCTGGAATCTACTGAATTATCAGGTAGATCTATTTCAGATTCCGACTTAAAGAAAAAGTGGAAAGCTGCGTATGCTGAAGCCGAGGAGACTCTGTCAGTAGCAAAGATGCTTGGTATAACTTTGGTTGAGCCTGATAGGAAGGTTCTTGATGAGTTAGTGAAGTTAGATTTGTGTTGAGGGTAGAGAGGGTGTTGTAGGGCAGGTGTTAAGTTTTCCTTTTTGGTTTTCGGTTGGTGAGGTCCCTACCGTGGATTTTTTTTTGGAGGTCCTGAAAAAGTCTAGCTGAAGGGTTTGTGTTGGTTTGTTTCGACTTGTAGTGGGGTTTAAGAATCGGGAGTATTTTAGCTACCTAGTATGTTCCTTTGCTTTTGATTGTTGATGGAGGTCCTAGAGTTGGTTAGATTAAGGGCTCTTTGTGGTTTTCTTTGACTTGTAGTGGGGGTTTAGGTTTCGGGAGATTTTCAGTTTTCTTTAGTGTGTAAGCCGTCTAGTGATTTTTATTTTTTTAGTAGGGGAGGTGTGAGTCTAAGAATTTAGATTGGTTTGTTTATGAGTTCGTTTTATTGGCTTTTGAGGCGTTTTTGGTGGGTTGGTGTGCTATAGTTAGAGTGTCGTTATCTAGGACGTCTTGGTTTGTTCATGAGTTATGGGTTTTTAGTATGGAGAAGTTTCTTGCGACTTTTCATATCAGAGAAAGGATTTTTTATGCTTTGAAGAAAGTTATTTGGGTGGTAGTGGAGTTGAGGTTGAATTCTGAGTCGCTTTTGAAGGTTTATTATATAAAGTTCCATATACTGCGTTATGGGGTATCTAAATTTTGTCTTTCTTAGATAGTGGAGTGGTATTTCTAGTGCATAACGCTTTGGCGATAGGAGGTGGTCTGCATGTGAGTGTATTTTGGGCGATTGTAGGACGTGTTGCGCAGCTTGCTTTAGTTTACCGTTGGGATTTTGGATTTTTTTAAATCCAAAGCAATGTTGGGGAAGCAATTTTATATTACGCCTAGTGTTTTGTGTTTTATAATCTCATGGTTCAAAACAGTGTGTAGCGGGGAAGCACTTTTACATTGTGTCAGGTGCTTTAAATTTAATATTTCATTTGTGGAGGCTTGTGGGGCACTAGAAGGGTTAGTGGGGCGCATGAGGTTTTATAATTGCCTAGGTTTTCTATCGTTGCATCCAGGCAGTCTTCTCTTAGTTACCGAAGTAGTGCTTATTGGAGGCTTCTAGCATTGCAAGTCGGTTTCACTCATATGGTGCTTGGTTGCGGTCTCTTCATCGACTTTTTTCTATGGTGGTCCGCTTTTGAGATTTTGGAACGGTTTGGATGTCTTTGGATCACTCTTGAGATCATTGTTCGCGTTGATGTTTTTGAGTTGCTTTCATTAGGTGTTGGTGATCATTGTATGCATGGCTTTCGTTTTTTGGTTGTGTTTGTAGTGTTTCTCTTATGCAACACTCTTTTCCTCCAATTAGATTAGGGAGGTTTTTAACGAGACTCATAAGTTGTACTTCGACTCGTGATTTTAATAAATCTTCTTTCCTATCAAAAAAAAAATACTGTAGAGGCGAGGGTGACCCTCCCACCCAGTTTTCTATATTCGCAAACGCCAGGATTCGAACCCCTGACCTTGCTGAAGTGACTAGTGCCTCATCTCACTAGACAAACTTGTTGGTTCTTCTTTCATTTTATTAATTATACAGTTTTTCTCTTTTTCTAGATTTCCTATTTTCAATATAAGTAATCCACCTGATGGATCATTTTCAGATAATTACTTTGTTTAAGCAAAAACTAAGTTTATTTAAATGATACCTTTGTGGATCACAATGTCTTTAAATTGATTACGGCTCATATCTAGTTCCCTTAAGTTGGTAAATATATCCAAATCTGAGAAAAGAAAAATAAGAGATAAACTCCATTGATCAGAACGTTATTAATAGTTTTGTTAACAGACTTGGAAGAATTTTGACAGAAAAAAGATGCTTTTACCTTTCATATCTAATGATCCTTTTAACAGATTTTCGCTCATGCTCAACTTCTTCAGATTTGAAAACACTTTTAGGGATGCAAATGCACTGTTGTTGAGGAGATTTCCATCTAAACGAAGCTCTTCTAAATGGGCAAACTGCTTCAGTTTTGTACCAGCATCTATAAAAGATTGATTTAAATAATTTAATCATAAAAAAAGATTAGCATAAATTTTATTTATGTCTGAGACAATTGATCAAATATAAATGCATACCATTGAAGGATTGAAGGCTTTCTATTTGATTCCAACGTAAATCCAAGTACTTCAAGTTTGTCAAATTTCTCAATCCTATATATATATATATCAATTCAAAACTTTAATGAACAGGTAAACAGAAAAAAGGTAAATCTAAAACTTTAGTTGATAATGAAAAATCGTCAAATGTCAAAAAAGGTTATAGTTTTATTACCTTTAATATCTATCGAACCTTGCAAATTGTTGTTGTTCATAGCCAAGGATTCTAGGTTTGAAAGCCCCTCAAGGAACGAAAACGTGTTGTCCCGAAAGTGATTAAAACTCAAATCAAGTTTCTGCAACTTTGGTAGCCTCAATTGTGCTTCATCTATTGTAGAAACAACATGTCCCTAATTAATATCATCGGATACTGAATATTTTATAAGTTGACCAACTTGAAAACAACGTAGGGTTAATTGCCATCTAAAATTAAAAATCTGATGTGGACATATTAGTTGCTGCAATAACATAAATAAATGATAATATTCCATGTTTAAGTTTATTTGATTAATTAACTTAATTGAATGACTTGATCCTTGGATTTGATTGCCTCCTAGATATAAATACCGGAGAGACGAAAGCTCACTCAAAGATAGCATGCTACTATCATTCAACTGGTTCCAACTTAAGTCAAGAATCTCCAAATTATTCAATGCAGTTGAGAGTTTTTTAAAACATGCAAAAATATTTTTTAAATACATAAAAGGAGTTAGTGGCTTTTCTTCAATAGAATAAACGTAACAATTATGGCTAATTGCAAAAACAACAGCTAGTTTTTGATGAAAACCTGTGTATAGTGGAATAATAAAAGATGAAAGTAAGGGCAAGACCTTCATTTTGAATGCAACCAGCAATGGCATTACTTCCTAAATAAAGACTCTTCAATTCCACAAAGGGAAGAAACATAGAGGCATTCAGATACACCCCTTGTTACCATACATTGTGTAACTAAGGTCGAGTCTTTTGAGTCGCCCTGTGGTGGTGTCCCTTTCCATTTAAAGCAATTAGGGATCTCCACCTCATCCCAGTTATTCAGATAATCGAAACCATTGAAGAAAGGTTTGAGTTGCAGGAGAGCAATTTTTTCATGCTCCAAACAAGCATAAGTTGTAGTACCTAAAAATATATGGGTAAATTATACATTTACTACATAAACTATCAATTTTAGTACCTAAACTTTTAAAATTTTCAAAACCATACCTAAGTTTTAGTTCTTGTTTCATTTTAGTATCCCGTTGTTAAAAAACTAAAACGGTTATTTGCACATGGCACCGTTTTTAAGGGTAAATTGCATCATTCATCACCCTCAACTATCTTCTCACTCCTATTTTGGGCACTAAAGTTTAATTTTTTCTTAATTTAATTACTTAACTTTCAAACTACTCCTGATTTAATCACTCAAACTTTTTAATAAAAAATGTCATGTCACAAAAATTATTAATAAAATATGTTAGTGTGATAAAATGAAAGTGATTTCAAAGTTGAGTAGTTAAATTGAATTTTTTTGAATTTTAGTACCAAAATAGGAGTGAGAAGATAATTGAGTGATGAATGAAAGAATTTACCCATAAAAATGCAGTGCGTTTAAGTTTTCAATGATAATGTACTAAAATGAAACAAAAACTAAACGTAAAGTATAGTTTTAAGAAAACTGATAGTTTATATACTAAACATGCAATTTACCCAAATTATATTTGAAAAATTACGAGGTCTAGATTTGAGCCATAAATTTACACCTTGATTCGGTAAGGAACCAATAAGCTTTACAATTACTCTTCTTTCATTTTATTTTATTTTCTAATAAATCACTGAAATCCAGATCAGATATTACAGAGGCAAAGGTTACCCTCCCAACACAGTTTGCTTCATTCACAAACATCAAGATTCGAACCCCTGACCTTGCTTAAATGACCTAGTGCCTCATCCCACTAGACCAACTTATTGGTTCTTTCATTTTATTAATTATACAGTTTTTCTCTTTTTCTAGATTTCCTATTTTTAATATAAGTAATCCACCTGGTGGATCATTTTCAGATAATTACTTTGTTTAAGCAAAAACTAAGTTTATTTAAATGATACCTTTGTGGATCACAATGTCTTTAAACTGATTACCGCTCATATGTAGTTCCCTTAAGTTGGTAAATATATCCAAATCTGAGAAAAGAAAAATAAGAGATAAACTCCATTGATCAGAACGTTATTAATAGTTTTGTTAACAGACTTGGAAGAATTTTGACAGAAAAAAGATGCTTTTACCTTTCATATCTAATGATCCTTTTAACAGATTTTCGCTCATGCTCAACTTCTTCAGATTTGAAAACACTTTTAGGGATGCAAATGCACTGTTGTTGAGGAGATTTCCATCTAAACGAAGCTCTTCTAAATGGGCAAACTGCTTCAGTTTTGTACCAGCATCTATAAAAGATTGATTTAAATAATTTAATCATAAAAAAAGATTAGCATAAATTTTATTTATGTCTGAGACAATTGATCAAATATAAATGCATACCATTGAAGGATTGAAGGCTTTCTATTTGATTCCAACGTAAATCCAAGTACTTCAAGTTTGTCAAATTTCTCAATCCTATATATATATATATCAATTCAAAACTTTAATGAACAGGTAAACAGAAAAAAGGTAAATCTAAAACTTTAGTTGATAATGAAAAATCGTCAAATGTCAAAAAAGGTTATAGTTTTATTACCTTTAATATCTATCGAACCTTGCAAATTGTTGTTGTTCATAGCCAAGGATTCTAGGTTTGAAAGCCCCTCAAGGAACGAAAACGTGTTGTCCCGAAAGTGATTAAAACTCAAATCAAGTTTCTGCAACTTTGGTAGCCTCAATTGTGCTTCATCTATTGTAGAAACAACATGTCCCTAATTAATATCATCGGATACTGAATATTTTATAAGTTGACCAACTTGAAAACAACGTAGGGTTAATTGCCATCTAAAATTAAAAATCTGATGTGGACATATTAGTTGCTGCAATAACATAAATAAATGATAATATTCCATGTTTAAGTTTATTTGATTAATTAACTTAATTGAATGACTTGATCCTTGGATTTGATTGCCTCCTAGATATAAATACCGGAGAGACGAAAGCTCACTCAAAGATAGCATGCTACTATCATTCAACTGGTTCCAACTTAAGTCAAGAATCTCCAAATTATTCAATGCAGTTGAGAGTTTTTTAAAACATGCAAAAATATTTTTAAATACATAAAAGGAGTTAGTGGCTTTTCTTCAATAGAATAAACGTAACAATTATGGCTAATTGCAAAAACAACAGCTAGTTTTGATGAAAACCTGTGTATAGTGGAATAATAAAAGATGAAAGTAAGGGCAAGACCTTCATTTTGAATGCAACCAGCAATGGCATTACTTCCTAAATAAAGACTCTTCAATTCCACAAAGGGAAGAAACATAGAGGCATTCAGATACACCCCTTGTTACCATACATTGTGTAACTAAGGTCGAGTCTTTTGAGTCGCCCTGTGGTGGTGTCCCTTTCCATTTAAAGCAATTAGGGATCTCCACCTCATCCCAGTTATTCAGATAATCGAAACCATTGAAGAAAGGTTTGAGTTGCAGGAGAGCAATTTTTTCATGCTCCAAACAAGCATAAGTTGTAGTACCTAAAAATATATGGGTAAATTATACATTTACTACATAAACTATCAATTTTAGTACCTAAACTTTTAAAATTTTCAAAACCATACCTAAGTTTTAGTTCTTGTTTCATTTTAGTATCCCGTTGTTAAAAAACTAAAACGGTTATTTGCACATGGCACCGTTTTTAAGGGTAAATTGCATCATTCATCACCCTCAACTATCTTCTCACTCCTATTTTGGGCACTAAAGTTTAATTTTTTCTTAATTTAATTACTTAACTTTCAAACTACTCCTGATTTAATCACTCAAACTTTTTAATAAAAAATGTCATGTCACAAAAATTATTAATAAAATATGTTAGTGTGATAAAATGAAAGTGATTTCAAAGTTGAGTAGTTAAATTGAATTTTTTTGAATTTTAGTACCAAAATAGGAGTGAGAAGATAATTGAGTGATGAATGAAAGAATTTACCCATAAAAATGCAGTGCGTTTAAGTTTTCAATGATAATGTACTAAAATGAAACAAAAACTAAACGTAAAGTATAGTTTTAAGAAAACTGATAGTTTATATACTAAACATGCAATTTACCCAAATTATATTTGAAAAATTACGAGGTCTAGATTTGAGCCATAAATTTACACCTTGATTCGGTAAGGAACCAATAAGCTTTACAATTACTCTTCTTTCATTTTATTTTATTTTCTAATAAATCACTGAAATCCAGATCAGATATTACAGAGGCAAAGGTTACCCTCCCAACACAGTTTGCTTCATTCACAAACATCAAGATTCGAACCCCTGACCTTGCTTAAATGACCTAGTGCCTCATCCCACTAGACCAACTTATTGGTTCTTTCATTTTATTAATTATACAGTTTTTCTCTTTTTCTAGATTTCCTATTTTTAATATAAGTAATCCACCTGGTGGATCATTTTCAGATAATTACTTTGTTTAAGCAAAAACTAAGTTTATTTAAATGATACCTTTGTGGATCACAATGTCTTTAAACTGATTACCGCTCATATGTAGTTCCCTTAAGTTGGTAAATATATCCAAATCTGAGAAAAGAAAAATAAGAGATAAACTCCATTGATCAGAACGTTATTAATAGTTTTGTTAACAGACTTGGAAGAATTTTGACAGAAAAAAGATGCTTTTACCTTTCATATCTAATGATCCTTTTAACAGATTGTGGCTTATGCTCAAATACCTCAGATTTGAAAACACTTTTAGGGATGCAAATGCACTGTTGTTGAAGAGATTTTCATCTAAACGAAGCTCTTCTAAATGGGCAAACTGCTTCAGTTTTGTACCAGCATCTATAAAAGATTGATTTACATAATTTAATCATAAAAAAAGATTAGCATAAATTTTATTTATGTCTGAGACAATTGATCAAATATAAATGCATACCATTGAAGGATTGAAGGCTTTCTATTTGATTCCAACTTAAATCCAAGAACTTCAAGTTTGTCAAATTACTCAATCCTATATATATATATATATATATATATATATATATATATATATATATATCAATTCAAAACTTTAATGAACAGGTAAACAGAAAAAAGATAAATCTAAAACTTTAATTGATAATGAAAAATCATCAAATGTGAAAAAAAGGTTATAGTTTTATTACCTTTAATATCTATCGAACCTTGCAAATTGTTGTTGTTCATAGCCAAGGATTCTAGGTTTGAAAGCCCCTCAAGGAACGAAAACGTGTTGTACCGAAAGAGATTAAAACTCAAATCAAGTTTCTGCAACTTTGGTAGCCTCAATTGTGCTTCATCTATTGTAGAAACAACATGTCCCTAATTAATATCATCGGATACTGAATATTTTATAAGTTGACCAACTTGAAAACAACATAGGGTTAATTGCCATCTAAAATTAAAAATCTGATGTGAACATATTAGTTGCTGCAATAACATAAATAAATGATAATATTCCATGTTTAAGTTTATTTGATTAATTAACTTAATTTACCCTTTGAATGACTTGATCCTTGGATTTGATTGCCTCCTAGATATAAATACCGGAGAGACGAAAGCTCACTCAAAGATAGCATGCTACTATCATTCAACTGGTTCCAACTTAAGTCAAGAATCTCCAAATTATTCAACGCAGTTGAGAGTTTTTTAAAACCTGCAAAAATATTTTTTAAATACATAAAAGGAGTTAGTGGCTTTTCTTCAATAGAATAAACGTGACAATTATGGGTAATTGCAAAACAACAGCTAGTTTTTGATGAAAACCTGTGTATAGTGGAATAATAAAAGATGAAAGTAAGGGCAAGACCTTCATTTTGAATGCAACCAGCAATGGCATTACTTCCTAAATAAAGACTCTTCAATTCCACAAAGGGAAGAAACATAGAGGCATTCAGATACCACCCCTTGTTACCATCCACTGTGTAACTAAGGTCGAGTCCTTTGAGTCGCCCGGTGGTGGTGTAGCAGTCAATCCCTTTCCATTGACAGCAATTAGGGATCTTCACCTCATCCCAGTTATTCAGATGATCGAAACCATTGAAGAATGGTTTGAGTTGCAGGAGAGCAATTTTTTCATGCTCCAAACAAGCATAAGAAGTAGTACCTTCCAACACCAACAACACACTCATCACAGCTATCCTAATAAACCATTTTAACTCCATCATCATCATCATCATCTCTCTCAGCTACTTTGAACTTGTATGTATATGATTTGAATAAGCCCTTGATCCACCTTGTTATTTATAGAAAAAAAAATAACCCTATATTTAATTCCTATAAAAATTTGGAATAATATATTCCAATATGAAACCAAGACAAAGGAAAAAGCAAGACTTGGAAATTGATACATAAGCCTTCCCATGCACCGACAAACTATTGACTTATGACTCAATGTGGTTTCTATCATCTACCCCAGTACCAAACTTAGTCTCCTTTCCATTGCTTCCTTCCTGGAAATTACATTAATCCCCACAAAAAAAAAGGAAAATAAATAAATTATAAATAATTGTATTCAGCGTTCGTCATCGTGATGGGGCTCATACAGATGATGCAAAGTAATCAAAATCTTAAACTTGAAACAGTCCGTGAGACCAACTATAAAGCCTTAAAATGAAGGACTTACCAAGTATTTCTATTTGCTCAAAGGGGCGGAGCTAGAAAAAAATTGGGTTGTCAAATTTAGAAATTACATGAAGAATTTTTTTAAGTGAAAAATTTGAATTTTAAAATTTTTATTGTTAAATGTTTTTTTTAAATGAGTCAATTTCTTTTTAAAGGGTGTCAAAATATTTCTAACACATATATAGTTTGAAACTTTTGGACTTAATATATATATTGGCTCTGTCAGTGTTTGCTCAAGAGCGAATACAAAGATTTTATGTTAGGATGCAACCTTATAAAATTATATAGGAGCAAAAACATAATAACACTAGAAAATATAAAGAAAATACTTTTATTATATGATAATTTAACTTTTTCAGAGAAACGACTTTCGGTCATCTGTTCTATCCCTGCCCCTGCACTTGCCACTACCTACTTACAATGCACCTACTTATACCCTTCAATTTGGGGTTTGGAAATCTTGAACAAGACAACGACCTTTGATAGGCAGCTAGCATACCTGCATAATGTTTTATTCTGCATTTAAAAAAGCGTGTTCCTGGAAAATTATATGGGTGGAAATTTCTTAAGAAAGGGACATCGTATGAATGGACCCCATAAACAAAATGGTCAAATTATTCTATTACTACTTATGTTATTAAATAAATAGTGGATATATTATCCTATTATAAATGCATGCTTAATGCATAAATTATAGGTTTAATTCTCGTTCTTGAAATTTAATCATTTTATGTTTCTATAATTCAATTGTATTACCTTTTTATTGATTCCAAAAAAATATTATCTTTATATTATTTGAGTCGGGACTAAAATTTCAAAATTAAAAAAAGTATAGATTTAAAATGTGTATAATCTTTGATAATTTTATGTTTAAAGTAAGCTAATTATTTGTTTTATCCTTTACTTTCCAATTGAATAAAAATTATTTAAAATATAATTATGAAAAATGTGTTTCTACTATAGAGTTAACGTGTAGAAAGTAGGGGTGATTATCAAGCGAGTCGATCGAGTTGGGCAATGCTCGACTCGTGCTCGTTAAAAAAATTTATTGTTCGACTCGACTTGTTTCTCGTTAAGCTCATTAAAATTTTGCATGACTCGTGCTCGTTAAAAAAACTTGTGGCTCAACTCGTTGCTCGTTAAGCTCGTTGCTCATTAAGCTTGTTACTCGTTAAGCTCGATGCTCATTGCTCGCCTCGTTGTTAGCTAAGCTCACCGAAATTTTTACCTTATTTTCTTAACTATAGGTAAAATCTACAAATATTATATAGAGCTAATATAAACATAATAATAAATTTAATTAAAAAATTGTCAAAAGAGTGTATGAAGTTAATTTTAAAGTCTAAACTACAAAGTAACAATTCACAAATACATTAAAATAATAAATAAGATTTTATTTTTGAGTGTATGAAATAATTTTGTATCTTTTAATAGTAGGAGGACTAGTCATATAGTTAGGAGATCATTTTGTAACTTTTAATAGTTGCACTCAATAAACAATATCATATAGTCGGGAAACCATTTGTATATTTTACCCAAAATTTTAATTTTGTTGACAAGAAAAACAAAATCTATGATATCGTTAAAGTAAAATAATTATCTTTTTTTTTTCAATTAAATAAAAATTCTGTGAAATTTAATTATGAAATGATATTTTACTTTATAGTTATCGTGTTGAAAGTGTTGGTTTTGTGGAAAATAAAAACGAAGTCTTCCTTTTTATTTGATTTTATACACAAGACTAGTACTTAAATCGTTGTAATATTTTCTAATTTTTGTCCGACGTTATGGGGACATTGAATTTGACATGAATGGTTGAAATTTGATCGTTAAAATATTGCATAAAGTCTTGGTTTGTGGAAAATTTAAGTCTTTTAAGTATTTTACACGCATTCAATTGGACTTTTGGGTAAAATATACAAAGGTCCCTTGACTATAGGACATTGTTTTATTGAGTCCTTTAATTATTAAGTTACGAAATAGTCTTTCAACTATAGGGCGATGGTTGTTGAGTTCTTAAAATGATAAATTTGAGGACTTAAACAAATAAGTTATCTAATCGAGTTTATCTTTTTAAGTGAAAAAATTGAATTTTAAAATTTTTATTGTTAAATATTTTTTTAAATATGAGTCAATTTCTTTTTAGAGGGTGTCAAAATATTTCTAAAAGAGGTTTCATTTTCTCTCTCTCACACACACAAACATATATATATATATATATATATATATATGAGTAAAAAGAAAGTTTTGAAACTTTTGGACTTAATATATATTGGTTCCGTCAGTGTTTGCTCAAGAGCGGATAAAAAATTTTATGTTAGGAGGCGAACTTATAAAATTTATAGGAAAAAAAACATAAGAACAATAAAAAATATAAAGAAAATATTTTTATTATATGATAATTTAACTTTTTCAGAGAAACGACTGTCAGTCATCTGTTCTATCTCTGCCCTGCACTTGCCACTACCTACTTACAATGCACCAACTTGCACCCTTCAATTTGGGGTTTGGAAATCTTGAACAAGACAACGACCTTTGAAATTTGATAGGCAGCTAGCATACTTGCATAATGTTCTAATCTGCATTTAAAAAAGCGTGTTCCTGGAAAATTATATGGGTGGAAATTTCTTAAGATCAAAGGGCCATTGTATGAATGGACCCCATAAACAAAATGGTCAAATTATTATATTGCTACTTATGTTATTACATAAATTGTGGATATATTATCCCATTATAAATGCATGTTTAATGCATAAATTATAGGTTTAATTCTCGTTCTTGAAATTTAATCATTTTATGTTTCTATAATTCAATTGTATTACCTTTTTATTGATTCCAAAAAATATATATTATCTTTATATTATTTGAGTCGGGACTAAAATTTCAAAATTAAAAAAAAAAAGTATAGATTTAAAATGCGTCTCATCTTTGATAATTTTATGTTTAAAGTAAGATAATTATTTGTTTTGTCCTTTACTTTCCAATTGAATAAAAATTATTTAAAATATAATTATGAAAAATGTGTTTCTACTATAGAGTTAAATGTAGAAAGTAGGGGTGATTATCAAGCGAGTTGGGCAATGCTCGACTCGTTCTCGTTAAAAAAACATTTGTTGTTCAACTCAACTTGTTGCTCGTAAAACTTGTTAAAATTTTGCTTGACTAGTGCTCGTTAAACTCGTTAAAATTTTGCTTGACTTGTGCTCGTTAAAAAAACTTGTGGCTCAACTCGTTGCTAGTTAAGTTCGTTGCTAGTTAAGCTCGTTGCTCATTAAGCTTGTTACTCGTTAAGTTCAATGCTCATTGCTCGCCTCGTTGTTAGCTAAGCTCACTGAAATTTTTACCTTATTTTCTTAACTATAGGTAAAGTCTACTAATATTATATAGAGCTAATATAAACATTAAAATAATAAATAAGATTTTATTTTTGAGTGTATGAAATAATTTTGTATCTTTTAGTAGTCGGAGGACTAGTCATATAGTTAGGAAATCATTTTGTAACTTTTAATAGTCGCGAGACTCAATAAACAATATTCTATAGTCGGGAAACCATTTGTATATTTTACCCAAAATTTTAATTTTGTTGACAAGAAAAACAAAATCTCTTATATCTTTAAAGTAAAATAATTATCTTTTTTTTCAATTAAATAAAAATTCTGTGAAATTTAATTATGAA